CTTGTAAACTTTGTATGTTCTTTTTGCCCAGAAGTTCATGTAATTTTTTTTCTTAAAATATAGTAATTTTACTAGAATATTGTTGGTTATTCTGAGTTTGTATTTCTAGGTTTATAGTGTATTCTTTCAATGCATAGTTTCTTTTTCTGCGAGGTGTACTCAGGTGACAGTCTTCAGTACTTGTTCTGCTCCTTTGCTTCTCATTTTCAGGGACTCCTTTTGTCCATATGCTTTGCCTTCTTGACCTTTTTTCAATATTTGTCCATTTCTCTCCAAACGTTCTTTGTTACTCATTTCTTTTAGACTTTAAACTTTTCCTGCTTTTTACCTTTTATTTTGGTAACTTACCTAAGTTTTGTTTTGTTTTGTTTTGTTTTATTGTTAAGTTTTCAATGTGTTGTTTCTTGGTTAGTCTTCATTTCTAAAGTGATTTTTCTTTTAATTCTAATTTGTGAAAAATTTCTGTTAGCTTGTTTTTGAGTTTTTCAATTTCTGATGTATAATATTTCTTGTTTTTTTAATCTTATTTTGAAATAGTTAATGGTTTTTCTCTTTTTTGAGCATGTCTTCCTAGCATTCTTGTATTGTCTGTAGGGATGTTTCTGTACCTTATTCTTTTTTTTCTTCTTACAGTCGTTTGGAACCTTCATTTTTTCTCTCTTATTTTCATGTCAATTTAGTGTTCTGAGCTTTTAGAAGATGGCCTGGTTCTCTTAGCTGTTCTGACTTCTCAGGGCGCCCCCTTCTGTCATTTTCAGGTAGTGTTCAGAAACATGACTCGCGTTCTGAATTTTCCTGGCCTGCCTCTTGTTTGGTCTTTCTCATTCCTTTGTTGTTCTTATTTCTGCCATGCTGAGATTTGATTCCATTCCTTGGAATTTCTCCTCAGGGTGGGGCCTGTCTCGAAGGGGAGCCCTTTCTGGTTGATTTCTAGGGCATGAGTCTAGATTGAGGCCTTCTTGAACACACTTGCATTTGGGGGTTATCACCTAGTTTTACATAAATATTGCCCCTGGGTTTTTGTTTTATAATCTCAGTTTTTTTATGGAAGGATTTGGGAAGATCCCAAAACTAAGCTGCCACTGACACTGTCTTCCAAGAATCCTTTAATGTTGCCCCTTTATGGGTATTGCCACAGTGAACATTTTGTAAATGAAATAATGCTTTGGGATAAATCCTCGTATGTTGTTTGTTTGTTTGTTTTTTTAAGCCTTTAAATATGGCACTGATACTTCAGTTGCTTAATGTCTCCCAAACCAGTTGTTGTTATTGGGGTAATTACAAGAAGTTTTTATAGCTTAGCAATTGAAATGAAATTTTAAAGAAGTATGGGATCTTCTCCAACCCCAGCTGCTTCTTAATATTTCATTTTCTTCTTTGCTCTCCTGAAGGTAAAAGAACACTATGATAGATCGAATGGTTTCAGCTAACACCTTTAAAAACAAAACAAAACAGGGAAGCCCGCTGAAGTTTCCCAAGCCTAAGCTGTTAGTGGTAACCCTTGAGGTACAAATAGTAGATGTTATAATGATGCTATAGTTCTAGTAGAGAAAAGACATCAAGAAAAGCCCAAGACTGGGAGTTCTGAGCAGGTGCAGGCTGCTTAAATGCTCTCAGCCTCAGTTGCCTTACATGTAAGGTAATAATAATAAAGCCAGCAGAGAGGATGAAGGAAGGAAGGAATGTACAGTGAGTTGCTATTTTTTTCAGTGAGTTTTGATGTGTACCTAGAGTGGACTCATAGTCTTTAGCAAATAATTCAATAGGAAAAATATAGGAGAACCAGTTTATCAAATGATCTGTAAAAGGGTTGATTTTCAAAGCTGCCTTTTGTATTTATAGTATGATTCCATTAAGGCCTCAGCATGCCAGCACTGATTTGTTAATTCTGCAGCATTGATTCAGTGACAGTGATGTCAACATTGGTTGTAGCTTTAGGCGAGGAATGCCGACCTGATGGTGCACTCCCCCATTTTTTGGAGGTGACTTCTTTAAGCAGCCTAAAAGTAGA